ACTGGCGGCAGCAGCAGCAACAGCAGAGATGGGTCAGCGAAAACGATGGTGGCTGATCAAATCACTCAGTCCATTCAGTCCACCTCCAATCTCCTCCATCTCATGCTTCAGTCCTCTTTTGCCCTTGTCCTTTTAGCTATTTTCCAATTTTACTCCACAAAAGAGTACTCTTCTACAAATAATCGGCACCCCACTATGCAATTGCGCCGATCAGCTTCTGCTACTGATACGTCCAATTTAGCTATGCCTGCTATCTTTGGCATAGGGTCTCCAATGGCTGCATATACATACATGTTGGGAACAGTGAGTTTCAGAGTTTTTGCTCGACGGCGAATTCGCCGGAATTAGGGTTTATTCTTGAACAAAGACGACGGAGTTTGGGGCTGAGCAACTTGATTTTCTGTTAATATATTTCAATGTATTTTCAATGTATCACGCTGTATTTTCATGTATTTTATTGTATTTATTGTATTTTTTTCATTGTAATTCAATGTATCTCGCTGTATTCCATGTATTTCATTGCATTCACTGTCTTTTTTTTTCCATTGTATTTCAATGTAATGTATTCATATTTTTTTTAATTAATATAATTTATGTATTCAGATGTATTATATAATTTCTCCGTAGATTGCTATGTTTTTGGGGTATTTTTTTGGTTAAGAATCTTTTTTATAATCGGGAATACAAAAATTGTGTGTTGTAATTGAGTTTGTTGAGTTATATTAGGAGTCTATTATGTTAATTGATTCACTTTCCGTTTAAAAACAATGTAATTCCCTGTTTCACGCCGTGAATATAGTCGAATACAATAATTTATCCAGTTGTAATCTCATGTTTCACGCCATGAATACAGTCGAATACACTCGAATACAACAACTGATTAGCTGGACTTCCTTGATTCACGCCTATTTTTGCTACTGTATTCATGAATACAGTAGCTTAAATACATCTTATAACAACAGAAAGCGTATCTACAATCCATAATATAGCAAATGGTATCTATAGATAGCTAATTACCACTAAAAGATAGCGCTTTATGAAAATTTCTCTTTAAAAAAACATACTGATTTTTGTGAACCTCAAAACTTCAATTTTCGAGTTTGAAGTTAGACTTTGAGCCCGTTTGGATTGGCTTATTTTAAGTAGCTTTTAACCCAAAATAGCTTTTAAGCCATAAGTTAGGATTTCTAACTTTTGGCTTTTTGGCTTGTTTTTGTCATTTTAGCTTTAAAACAAGTGCTTAAAAGCACTTTTTTTACTTTATCCAAACACTACAAAATGGCTTAAAGCGATTTTACCTTAAAAGCACTTAAAATAAGCCAATCCAAACAGGCTCTTTACCAAAGACCAACGGATTTAAGTTTGTTGCATTGACCTTATATAATGGTTTGAAATTTAATTTTGAGGCGTATAAACTATATGTTATGAAATATTATTTTGTAGTGGATGTCTATAACTCCTAAAGAAGTTACTCCCACTACTCTTCTCCATTATGTAGGTAACTCCCACTACTTCTCACCATTATAGTTGTAACTCCCACACCTCCATAACCTCCCCATGATCTTCCTCCATGATCTCAAATGTTTAATGTCATGTTTATGGCATTCTTTTGTATGCCTCTATGTAATCCTATAAATAGAGGGTTTTGGCATCACATTGTATACACTTGAATACATAGAAGAAATAAGATTCTCTCATCTCTTCCTCTCTACATTGTTGTCTATTTTATTGTTCTATATTGTTACTTTGAGCTAAGTTTCGTAACACGTTATCAGCACGAGTCTCTAACCAAGATTTGAGTTTGGTTCTTCTTCCGCCCATGTTCTGATTAGTCTCATTACGAGAATCAGAAAAGAATAACTACTATAACTAGTAAGTACAAAAGCAGGTGTGAGGTTGGACTTGAAAGAGAGTCTGCTATGCTCCAGGTTTACTGCTCCATTACTTATGCTGTGTTTTTAAGTCTTTTGAGTTGACAATTTAACTTCCCAATAATTTTCATTCTTGACCTTGTCTAAATTATTAAAGTTTAGAATCGAATAGGTAATGTGTCAGTTACATGAATTCTTGGGGTTATGGCTTATGTTATGCTAGTAATAGTTCCTCCACTGCATCTAGTATTTTGATTACAAAGAAAAGGAAATCGGTAATTATAATTTTAATAAAATTTGGTGCTTATTTTTTGTTGTTAGTGATATTGATAATAGTAACAAAGTTTGAGTTATTAGTACCGATGAAATTTTTCTCACACTTTTGAAGTACTTACTTACATATTTTTGTCATTTTTTTAATATAATATATTGTGAACTAAATATTTTCAGAGTCTGTAAGAAATAGTTGATCTCATTTATATCTTAAAGAAGTCAAAATTACATGCAATGAGTTCATAAATTGATGAAGTACTAATGTTTATAAAATTATTATAACAGAATGGTTTTATGCATAACCATTATATGTGGCCCTGTGGGTAAGTGATTTAGAGGACCGAGGATGAGCCTCAATTGTATTTTGGTCTATTATGCTATTGATTGAGGGTAAGACGGTGGGTTCAAGTCTCATCGTACCTTGAGGGTAAGACACTGGGTTTAAGTCTTAGTGCACCATGTAATAAGTAGTTGGGTTCGAGTCCCAATGCATTATGTCCTAACATGCCTTTATATGGATAAGGCATTGGGTTTGAGTCTCAATGCACCATATTGATGATATAATGATGACTAAAGAAAAATAATATATTTTTCATCAAAAAGCATAAAGTTTGTCCCACTTGATTTGCTCCATTCTTGAAGTGAATATGAAATCGGTGCATAATAAGTCTAAACGTGGGCGTGCCACAAATAATAACAGTATCATTATGGTAATTGTAAAAAGGAGAACGATGTTCTCATGGTCCTTCAAAGGAAGGAATATGTATCAATGTGGTCTGTTAATACGAGACACGTTCATATGATTATAGTCCATTCGTTGAAAATGTGACTTGTGATAAGCATTGTAAATGCAGAAAAATATTTTACCATGCCTTATAAAAAGTTATTAAAGGCAAAAGTAAAGCAAGAAATGAGTCTGATTGTACAATGATAAGATAATTTTTTCCGTGGAGGAAAAATTCACTTGGATGGTGGTATAAAAATTGAGACTATAAATGAAAGGAAGATTGAATATCTTCATATTACTATATTCATACCGGGTAAATATGAAAGGTTACTATTTGTTTCTCATGATATACCAATTAAGGTTGGGATTGAATCCCTTGATATCTGGAACGAATAAAAGGTGATATATATCTTGATAACAACAAGTTATGATAAATTCTCCCCATCACACCAAAATAAAACTCCTTGAAGAAGGAGAGAGAAATGTTCAAGATGGTCATAATAAGGAGGCAAGTGCTTTATAAGAGCACCATGACATAACATTTTATAAGACCTCATGGGAGAGGGTCAGGTACCTGCAATATTATTGACGATCTTGAGCTCAAATCTGTCATGGTGAACAGATAAATAATTGGCCAAATGAAAAATATGCAATGAAATTGACTTCACCTGAAAAATGTGAAGTTGGACGGATAGTGCCACACCTGAAAGTTAAATGAAAAATCAAGTCGATATACATAAAGACGACTTGTGGTACAACGAGACATGTTCTCCTGTGGGGGGTCTGACAATACATTTGATATGCATATAATGAAAATCCTTGAATGATTTAAATTGTTCTGAAGCATATTAAAGTTCCCAAGAAATTTATTAAATAAATCTTCGGCAGATCCTTATGTAGATTAGAGCGATCATGGCGTACATGATTTATTTTTGTGTCTAGTGCAATTGGTGCACTAATATATCTGGCTAGAACCATGAGTATAACAATATGCTAGCAGGATATAGTTTTATTTCAATGTGGAGATATTGGAATACAATTAGTATTATATTTCAAAAGGAATACTTGATTTAGATTTGTTTATTCTAACAAATATCGCCAAGATTTTGTTGGTTATGCAAATGCAGGCATTTTCTGAAGTTCGTTCTTCAAACATTCTATTTGCATGTGAGAGTACTGCCATATTATCATATTACAAGGCAGTTAATTGTTAATACTTATTCAAGTCATGCCAAGATAAGCAACTGATAAAGCAAGGGGCTCAACATACAACAGACGTGTGACTTGACTTTGAAGAGAAGATTCCAATAATACTGAAGATAATGTTGTTTGCTTATATCAATTGAAAGAAGGACTATCGAAGGAGACAAAATAAAGCACATTCACCAAAGTTCTTCAACAAATTTGTTCAAGTGATAATTTGATAAACTTCTTCACAAGACATTGCTGATCTCAATATTAGAGAAGTTGTTATACAAACTTGGAATTCGTCGTCTCCGAAAAATAAAGTGATGTTTTCATCAGGGAGAGGCAAATACGTGCTGTACTCTTTTTCCCTTAGCTAAGATTTTATCCCACTGGGTTTTTCTGGCAAGGTTTTTAATGAGGCAGCAAATAATGCGTATTACAAGATATGTGTACTCTTTTTTCTTCACTAAGTTTTTTTCCCGCAGGGTTTTTTCTTAGTAAGGTTTTAACGAGGCACATTATCTATAGACATCCAAGGGGGAGTGTTATGAAATATTATTTTGTAGTGGATGTCTATAACTCCTAAAGAAGTTACTCCCACTACTCTTCTCCATTATGTAGGTAACTCCCACTACTTCTCACCATTATAGTTGTAACTCCCACACCTCCATAACCTCCCCATGATCTTCCTCCATGATCTCAAATGTTTAATGTCATGTTTATGGCATTCTTTTGTATGCCTCTATGTAATCCTATAAATAGAGGGTTTTGGCATCACATTGTATACACTTGAATACATAGAAGAAATAAGATTCTCTCATCCCTTCCTCTCTACATTGTTGTCTATTTTATTGTTCTATATTGTTACTTTGAGCTAAGTTTCGTAACACTATAAAAATTTTATAAATTTCAGCTATTTTTTGAATAGTGATCCTAAAAAGGGTCATTTGTGCAATTAGCCCAAATTTTGGCCAGCAAAGTAGAAAAGCACAATAAACGGAGACCCGAAACCCATTTTGAATAACCGCTGTTTCTCCGGCCACCTGCGTTCGAACATTCTCCGGCGAACTTGAGTTGTTAGTTTCCTTGTCGCACTCTCTTTTCTGTAGATATAAACCCTAGTCCCTTTTCGCAATTTTAAGCTTAAATACTAATTGTGAACTGTGCTGCTATGCACTGTGTAATTATTCTCTCTGATTTTTTCATTATTATTTGCTTCCCATATCAGTCAATTTTCTGAAAATCTCTCCTTTAGCATTGTCAGACTTGAACTTATATATATATATATATATTATATATATATAATATATAAGGAAGGGAAAAAAGCATTTTCAGCATTTGTTATAATGTTTTGAGCTTGCAAATGTGTCCCTTTATTCTTAAGTACCAATTTCAATTTCCAATCATCTCAAATCAATTAATATTAAATTAAGTTAGTGTTTATATAGCTGACCGCTACTTGTTTCTGACTGAGGTTTAGTTGCTGTTGTACTTGCAGTAAGTTAGAAAACCAGATTATTGCTAAGCCAAAATCTTAAATTGCATTAAGAATGAATTGCAGTATTTAAAAGCATAGTTCTTTGCACGTTTGGATTATGTTTTTTTTTGTCACACTTGTTTCAAATGTTTGTAAGGTCAACAGGATGAGTTTAATGTAAGCTCTAGCTGCAATCAATGCTACTTTGAAGTTTGAACACGATTCTTTATTTATTTATTGGATAGAATCATGCAATTGGAGTAGTTTCTGGTTTCTGTTGTATGTTTTAGTGGCAAATTTAGGTTTTGAGGCTATCACACTCTATTCCTTATTCATTTTATGGTATTTCTGGGTTTGTCTGTGCAGATTTTGATATAGAGTGGTCTATTTCGATTGGCAAATTTCCAGGATACAATGTCATAATTCTTTTATTCGTGATTTTCTGGATGGTGTTCCTTCATGGCGTGCCCCTTGAGAAAAGCTATCGCAGTTTGCTCCATCTTCAGGAAACGCTATTCTTCCATTGTTGAGGTGGCTTCAAAGGCCAGTAGATTGACCTGCAACAGAAGGTGTACTGTCTTCTCAAGAACAGAGTCCTCGATTTCTTATGATAACTCTAAACCTGGAGGTGAGCTGTTTCCTCGACAGTTCTGTTCAAGTAGAGAGCCAGAGACGTTATCTTGGGGCGTGTCATCTGACATTGTTTTGCTGGGAAAGCTTGAAAGTGCATTGAAGAATCACAACTTGGAGGAGTCTTGGGAAACCTACAAGGATTTCAAACGTCTTTATGGTTTTCCTGACCCCTCTCTTGTAGGTAGGCTGCTCACTGAGTTGTCGTACTCATCTGATTCTAGGTGGCTCCGAAAGGCATACAATATGGTAGATTCTATTTTGAAAGAGAAAAGGGAATTACTACGTACAGAGCTAATGACCAAGCTCTGCCTATCGTTGGCTAGAGCTCAAATGCCCGTTCGAGCATCATCAATTCTCAGGCTGATGTTGGATAAAAGAATTCTCCCACCAATTGACATGCTAGGGATGATAATATTTCATATGGTGAAGACTGAGAGTGGAATGATTCTGTCATCGAATATTTTGATCGAGATTTATGGTAGCTCTCAACAATTAACCACAAAAAAGTCAGCTTACGCGGAGCTTAATAAGCATGATACACTTGTTTTTAATCTTGTTCTTGATGCTTGTGCAAGATTTGGATCATCCATTAAAGGCCATCAGATTATTGAGTTAATGGCTCAAGTTGGAGTGGCAGCCGATGCTCATACTATTTCAATTATTTCTTTGCTTCATGAGACGAACGGTATGCGAGATGAATTGAAGAAATTTAAGGAGCATATAGATCAGGTTTCAACAACATTGGTCCCCCACTATCGGCAATTCTATGAAAATCTCCTGAGTTTACATTTCAAGTTTAATGATATAGATGCTGCTTCTGATCTTGTACGGGATATTTATACATTTCAAGAGTCTCATCACATGCATGGAGATGAGACACAACCACCTAAACCGTGCCTTGTTTCTATCGGCTCTGATAATCTAAGGATGGGATTGAAACTACGAATTTTTCCTCATTCATTATCAAGGGAGTCTGTTTTCAATGTGGGACGTAATCAGGTGCTGGTTATGTATAAAAATGGGAAACTTGTCCTTAGCAACAAAGCGTTGGCCAGGATTATTGTACAGTACAAGAAGGGTGGGAGAATTAATGAGCTGTCAAAGCTTCTTTGCAATATCCAGAGGAAAGGCTCATTTGAATCCAGCAGAATGTGCTCTGATGTGGTTGCTGCTTGCATTTGCATGGAGTGGCTCGAAACTGCTCATGATATTTTGGATGATTTGGATTCTGAAGGAAGTCGGCTAGGCACTAGTTCATACATGTCTCTGTTGACTGCATATCGCAATAAAAATAAGCTAAGGGAAGCAGAGGCACTACTAAAGCAATTAAGAAAATCAGGTGTTGTCATAAATGCATCTGATCCGTTGTTAACTCCTACATCTTTGTGTCAACCGGAAGATAAAAACATCAATAAGTTGAAGGAATCAGGCTCTATGGCAAAAGGGGAGTTGGCTTATCATATTGTTCAAGAAATGAGGAGAGAAGAAAACGAGGCTTCTTTTATGATGCATCAATTGAATTCATCTATCTACTTCTTTATGAGGGCTCACATGGTTGAAGATGCCATAAGGGCTTACCGAAAAATGCAGGCAATGAAGATCCATCCTACAGAGTCAACTTTCATGAATCTGCTTAATGGGTATTCTTCTTTAGGGATGTATCGTGAAATTACAATCTTATGGGGAGATATTAAAAGGAACATGGTAAGTCATAATAAGCTGAATTCCAGGGATTTATATGAGTTCTTGCTGTTGAATTTTCTTCGAGGTGGTTATTTTCATAGGGTGATGGAGGTTATTGATTTTATGAAGGAGAATGGTATGTATTTGGATAAGTGGATGTATAGACATGAGTTCTTGAAGTTTCACAAGGGTCTTTACCGAAGGATGAAAGTATCTGATGCTACAAATGATGTACAAATTCAGAGGATTGAGCATGTGAAGCACTTTAGGAAATGGGTTGGCCTGGATTAAATGTTTTAGGTACACTTGCACGTTGGGGAACAAAAAAGAGCAAGAAAATATTGAATTATCCTTTGCCAAATTTTGGCAGGCTTCTCTCCATTTTGTCTACCTGAGAAGTGATGTACCCTACCCCTTGGGGTCAGAGTTGCATTGTAAATTATGTGTTTCAATAAAAGTCAAAATGCTTCCAGGAAAGAACATCTTTCTTTTTACTTGAACCATTGGCATATTGTATCTAAGAGGTCAATGCTCTTTAGCGTGTGTGGCGTATGGTTGAATTTGTGGCTTCTGTATCCACTCAGTTTTTTGCTTTGTTAAGAATATTAAAGATAGGAAATTGTTAATACTGAACGGTTAAGTATCCCTCTAATGGTGTAATAAGAAGTAGGAATTAATTTCTTTTCCTTTTCCGGACTACTTGATGCTTGAAAAAATAATCAAGCAATTCATATCCAAAAGGAAAAGAATTTATATTAATCAAGCAATTCATATCCAAAAGGAAAAAATAATCAAGCAATTTATATTATTATTAGAATACGAATCTCGAGATTTGGATATGAATTGCTTGATTATTTGTTCAAGCATCAAGTAGTCCGGAAAAGGAAAAGAAAGTAATCCCTACTTCTAATTACACAATTAGAGGGATTCTTAACCTTTCTATATTCACAAGTTCTTAATTTGCTATTCTTAACAACGCAAAAATTGAATTACACAAGTCGCGAATTCAACAATCCGCCACACATGCTAAAGAGCATTGACCTATTAGATACAATATGCCAATGGTTCAAGTAAAAAGAAAGATATTCTTTCCTAGAAGCAATTTGACTTTGACTGAAATACATAATTAACAATGCAACTCTGACCCCATGGGGTGGGGTACATTCAGGCTTCTCTCCATTTTATCTACCTGAGAAGTTTAGTGCCTTTGTGTTGGGGGTCAGTATTTCATGGTAAATTATGTATATCAATCAATATGCCCCTTGTCAGCCTTGAGTAGCTGTTTGAGTCAAAACAGATATATGCTTTGAAATTGGAGATTTTTCATTGCTCCAATGTCCAATCCAAGCCTGTAGCTAGGTGTTGAGGAGCTAAAAGAAGTTGCAACGGAGATATCTGAACCACTGGGTATGTTAGCCAGGGGTTCCAGCCATAACTCTTCTGCCTATGGTAAATCCTATGGATACTAGGATGAGCACATGGAGGTACAGAATTTTCTCCTTTATTTTCTGTCTCATACATAGTCAATTGGATTCTCTATTCTGTACTTCACTATAACCTCAAGCACATCTTCCTATTGCTAACATCAACTAGCCTGAAGCCTGTGCTGTCACTAATACTCTTTTTACTTTGCCTTTTCCCACTTGCCATTTAAACAGCTATCATCTCTGATGCCTGATTCCAGCCCATTGCGCCTTTTGATGATGCCTCCAGCCTAAGAACAGAAGACCAGACGAACAAGATAGAGTAACTTATGGCCATCCATTCCCTAGTATTTCTGTTTCTTAGGTGTTACCAGCACAGATATTGTAATGAAACAATGCTTTTTGGCCATTGAAGGCCTTGTACCCAATAATACCTCTGCTTTAGTGGATCTGTGTAGCAGACTAAGTCATGACAGCTCTCCTTTATATTTTTCGTTTGTTTTTTGTGTTCTGTAAAACTTTTTTGAAAGTGGTTTTTTCTGCTTTACTATTGACAGTTTTGCTACAGGATTGAACATTCTATTATTTTCTGTTGCATCAAATTTTTCATGTTTTCTTGACAGCTTTTCAATTATTGAACCAAAGTTCAAGAAAGTCAGGTTTCCGCATTTCAGGAGGTAAAATGTAATCAATCATCTCATACTTATCAATCCCTTGTCTGCTTTTGCTTGTAGTAATCTCGCGTAATTTGCCATGATTCCCACTGCTGGGTTCTATCCTTGTGATGAAGCCCTTCTTAGTTGCTTACACGTATTTAAGAGCTTTTAAGAGAATCAATAGTTAATTATGATCAAAATTCATGTTCAACTTTGCATGTTATTATATATTCTGAGAAGACAAATTTCTATTGAAGCCGTGTTAATTTTCTTATCTTGCTTCTCCAAGGTAAAAGGTACTTTTTATTCCTTTTCAGGTTGGTGAGTAGGTCTGAATATGCATTCAGACATGTATGTGATAAGTGTGTGTGTCTTTATCTTGTTAATATTTTTGCTCCTTTGGCCTGAAGGAAATGATGATGTTCATCACAATTTCATGTCTGATTATTTTGTGTAATTTATTCTGCAGGATCGATAGGTAATTTAGTTCTCATGCTAAATTCCTATAAGGTAAGTAATTTTCTCTTTCGCAATTGCTAATTTTTTCATTGATCTGGAAACTAGAGAGAGCAAGAATTCAATGTGAGACAGATTTTAAGATTTTTGGTAGAAAACATACACATACAAATGTCAAATATTTGAGGAGGAAAGAAGCCGGTGGGATCGTGCTTAGCCAGTTAACGTCATCCTTATACTAGCAAGAGAGGCGTCTTAGCCCATTACGACAAAGGGATATTTCTTTTGATGAAAGAACAGGACATTTTGATTAGACCAGTATTAGTTATGATATGGAACCATATCCCATGTATTGCCAACTGATTCTTTTTGCCTTTTGAGGGCTTTATATGAAGCTCATATGTGGTGGCTTTACAGCTATTGGAATAACTGGGATTCCATGTCTAAAGTGTATTCTTTCATTAGCTATTATCTAATGAACTCCTGAGTCGAGGGTTTTCCGGAAACAGCCTCTCTACTTTCTCCTGGTAGGGGTAAGGTTTGCGTACATTCTACCCTCCCAGACCCCACTAGTGGGATTACACTAGGTTGTTGTTGTTGTTGTTGTTGGGTATGTTAGCCAGGACTACTTGCCTCTATCTGTACATTCTCATTGCTATGTGCAGATATTTGTATGTTTAGCTAATATTCAGTTTTCCTAGTTCCTTATCTGCAAAATAAGTGGCCATATGAGTTATGACAGTTGCTGTTTTTGAATTCGACGTCCTTGATCCGTTGTTCTGATCATACTTGCAATAAATGATCGAAGAACAGTTGTTGGGATACATCTTCATTATAGTGATGGAAGAAGGGATCTCGGTGCTCTTGGGAACTTTACTAATAGATGTCATCTATGTTTTAGTTAACTGCACTTAATTCTGCTGGATTAGAATGGAAATGTCTAATTTTGGCATCTTCTCTATAGATCAACTTTTCTTGGTGGAGATCTTTGATTTCACTAATTGGATGACATATAAACTTTCTTATGGAACTGTGTCTACTTGTATTTCTTGGTGATTGTTAGAACCCTTTGGCTAATGTTTTTGTACTTCTATCTTTGTTCTTCTTACCTTTTCCCATCACCTCCAATTCGCAGACAGAAGACTGAAAAGAGGCTTAGCCTCCCACAGTCCTCCCCAGTCAGCGTGAGTTTCAGCGCCAGATGATCTTGAAGTAGTTACTATATATATATATATGCGCGCGCGCGCACCATAGGCACCAATTTTATTTGTCCTGGGGAAGTATATAAGATAGGATGGGATTAAAATTATTCCTAATGCAGTACTTCTACACTATTGGCGTAATTGGTAAAGTTACTTTCATGTGACCAGGAGGTCACATGTTCGAGCCGTGGAAACATCCTCTTGTAGAAATGCAGGGTAAGGCTGCATACAATAGACCCTTGTGGTTCGACCCTTCTCCGGACCCTGCGCATAGCGGGAGCTTAGTGCACCGGGTTGTACTTCTAAACCACTTTTGCCCTCATCATAATAGACATACAACAGATTTCATTGTCCTCACCTACAAAATGCTACAGTTTCTTGTATGAGAAAGTTGCTTTCTAGAATAGGTTATGAAACGCTGAAATTGTAAAGATAGGCATCGTTGCGGGTGCAGAAGTATTGTTCGCTGTGAATAGGATTTCTCCTAGGAAGCGTACCTCTCATAAAATATAGTTGAAATTGTATTTTCTTAGACGTCCAATTGTAACACCTCATCAGATCTTTTTAAAGAAAAAGAAACAAGCAGAACATACTATTCTCTTCTCACGTCCTCATAAGATCTTTTCAAAGAAAAAGAAACAGCATAAACCTTGAAGGTATAGTAGTCCAACTTGTAACCAGAACAAGCTTTTCTTAGGTGTTTGCCATAATTTTCTTACCATATTTGATTTTTCTATTTATTGAAGGGAAGGGCAACACGTTTACCTTAATTGGGTTTTCCTTCTTGTAGAAGGAAATTACATATCTCCCATATCTGGCTAGTCCCTTTTCTTGTAGGAAAAGGTTTGGAGTTCTATAAATTGAAGATTTGTCCTTCTCATTCAGTAGCATCCACAATGTAGCCATATGGGGTTTGAGAGTCGTGTCTAGGGGGGAAACTTTACGGGACAAGTGTTAGTGTGTCACTTGTGTTTGCCTCTTCGTGAGGTTGTTCTCTCGATATTTTGTACTCTCTTTTATTATAGTGGATTGCTCATCTCCGTTGTGGACGTAGGTCAGTTGACCGAACCACGTTAACTGTTTGTGTCTCTTTTGGTAGATTTCTCCTTTGTTGTCTGATTTATCGTCGTTGAAGGTTTGCTTTGCTAGCTTCCGCATGACACCTGACTTTTTTTCGGTCCTAACAAGTGGTATCAGAGCCAGCTTCGAGCGAGGTTCAAGACATGTTCATCTTGGCGTGTTCAGTTCTAGTTGCAACATATTTGACGATAATCGTGATTTTTGTCTGAGAAATTTGATCGGAGTGCTACGCACGTTGAGACAAACTTTGTGGCGGAGATTTGGAAATGCGACCTGTTGAAGGCTATGGGAAGAAGGTGGATCAAGTTTATTTTGTCAGAAAATTCAGGCCAAGGGGGAGAATTGTTAGGTGTTTGCCATAATTTTCTTTTCCCTTAGTTACAAAACCCTCAGGTTGCTCCATATAAATCTCCTCATCTAAATCACCATGAAGAAAAGCAGTCTTGACATCCATCTGCTCAACCTCTAAATCTAGACTTGCGGCTAAGCCTAGAACCACACGAATAGAAGACATCTTCACAACATGGGAGAAAATTTCATTAAAGTCAACTCCCTTCTTCTGGCCAAAACCTTTAACAACTAACCTCGCCTTGTATCTAGGCGCAGAGGTATGGTTATCTTGCTTTATTCTGAATATCCATTTGTTAGATAAAG